CGTTAGGTAATGTTTTCGTAAAAATACTAATGTCTGATGAGAATCCACTGAAGTTAAATGATTTGTAATGTTCGAATTTTGTAAAAGCGTTATAACAATCACAGTTATAGCTTCCAAAATTTATAGCACACTGGCTATAACAAACTAATAATAGATACTCTCTTTTGGCGCGGTGCGTTGGTTATATTTATAGGCGTGTAGATGCTGTCTAGAAAATTCAGATTATGCAACCATACTGATGCTAACACAGGTATTTACGTACATACATATATTGTTGATTCTTACTCTCGAGAATCTTCTACAACTTTGGAGAATACGTGGGAGTTTCGCAATACATATTTAACAGTATAACCTATGTATGTTTCTAAATATAAATTTAATCTAAACAAACGTTGACATTAAAATGAATATATAATAACAAATTCGTTACACCAAGTTGGAATTGCGTGGTGGAGAAATGTTGCATCCGCCCACGAATGTTGCCCTCTTTAGTAAATGATTCAGTGTTTTCAGACTAAGATAGATATAGCGAGTATGGCATGGCAATTTCTGTGAAAATACTAGTTCTTTTAATGAGTATTGTATGCTATTTTAAAATCTCTTAGTGAAGTAACTGCACTGTTTCTGAAAACGTCCTATAATAAACACCACATATACTTCAAACCTACTCAAATAATGAAATGAAAACTTTCGTGGCCACACCACGAAACAATATAAGACAAGATGTGTCAAATACCAGTCTCATACAAACCTTGTGTAAGTTCAGTGTTCCTTAATTTTAGTCCACAATACTCTGATGGTGTTAAAATATTTACGATATTGGGTAAATTGTGAGTAATTATCCTTTATGACCACATGTAAAGCTAGGAACCATGCTTTGGAACAGATCTAGGTTTGGTTAACAAAGAGCGAATTTAACAGCAATATGTCTAAATTTACGTGACCGAAAAATTAAACCACCAATATTATAGAGAAAAAAAAAAGGCAAGAAATGGACAGTTTTTTGTTGCTGTTATTTTTTATGATACTGCTAAATGTACCCCCAAGAATGAAGCGATTACAACCATACCTGTATATATACTGATCATTATAAACAAAAGGGATCCCACATTAGTTGCTTCATCACTAGGAACTACAGAACTCACGAGATGATTATAGTAGTTGGCCCCGAGGTAGCTCAGTGGTAAGCTTAAGGTCTTAAAATACAAAATTTTGAGGTTTGATTCCTGCAGTGAGCACATCATAGATAGCCTAATAAACTTAACAAGAAACAACAAAAGCTAAATGAATGAATAAAGCTAGTATGAAGAATACTGAACTCGAAGAAACACGTAAAATATCGTTGTTAGTTCTGCATCGAAAACGTACTTAGCCTCAACTTTATTATGTAAAACATACATTGTATATAATTTAACGTGTAAGGACTGTAGAAATATTTTCATAGAAAAACTCAGTCTAAAGCTCTATAAACACAGTATAAGTAAAATAGAATGCCAATTACAAGGTGTTGCTTGCTAAAAATGCACCCTTCATGCCCCCGATGACTCAGTGGTAAGTCTGAAGGCTTATTATCGCTTAAAATCTAGCTCTGTGTTGACAACAAACTAAGAAACAAACGAAAGCCATAAATTCATTTGGAAATGCGCAATATTTAAGAGTTGCTTGTTTGTTTTCGAATATTCGTGCAAAGCTAATCAAGGGCTATTATGCGCTAAACGTCCTTAATTCACAACCAATAGACTAGAGAGAAGGCAGCTAATCTAGGACTATAATGCACTAGACGTCCTTAATTTTCAACTGATAGATTACAGGGAAGGCAGCTAACCTATAGCACTCACCGCCAACTTTAGGGCCACCCTTGACCCAAAGTACGAAACACGATAGACCAGAAGCTCTACTGTTCGGCACGCTAACCTCCTGGACACTCTCGGCCCAATACTTAAGATGCTTTGCTTTGTTTGTTTGTAATTAAGCACAAAGCTATCGGTGCTGTGCTCACCACGAGTATCGAAACCCGGTTTTCAGCGTTGTAAAAGACGCTTGGCAGTAAGAGCAAATATGTTATGTACGTAATTCCTATTTTTCATTGTAACTCTCTTGAATTATGAAACAATGATCAAACATACGACACTTCATATCTAAACTCAATAAGTGCAGGATTAAAGTAGAACTATTCCCACTATCAAACATACGACACTTCATATCTCAATTCAATAAGTGCAAGATTAAAGTAGAACTATTCCCACTATCGAACATACGACACTTCATATCTCAACTCAATAAGTGCAGGATTAAAGTAGAACTATTCCCACTCTTGAACATACGGCACTTCATATCTCACTTTTTTGTGCACTTAATTTCATTTCATGAACCATGGTACAAGACATCTAAATATAAATTTATTTTTACGAGAATAAATTAAAGAATTATTCCACTTTAAATAGTTTCAGAAGAAAGTGCTAATATCTGTCCCTATTACATATAGCAAGATTCGTTAAAAGAAACATAAGGTACTCTAAAATGTGAAAATCATTATAATAATGATAGAGTAAAGTAAACAATCACGTGTATTAGTTGCACTAAAAGAGGCATGTAAAATGAGATATTTACAATTACCGTAAATATTTAACATTTATTTATTTACGACACTGAACTTATCTGAAAAAAAAACACTTGTTCAAGAAATAAGAAAATTAATACAACGAAATTGCGTGAAATTTCATTATAAATTAGATAAGAATTATATTCTGAAAAGATCAGGTCACTAGCCTTTACAGTCAAGAACATCTGTGGCGCCCTCTATCCATGTTGTCATCAAGAATGGACAAGTTAAACATGATGTATGTTGTGCTTCGTTTTGATATGTTCCAACTGGACAAGCCTTACATGTTTCCAAACCAGTCAAAGAAAAAGTACCAGGAAGACATTTTTCTAAAATCGATAAGTATGAATCAGTTGTTGGCATATTACATGACTTTATTTTTGTTTAACAAAACTGTGGATTCATAAGATTTAAAGGATTTACTTTTTTTTTCATATGGAAAATTATATACACTTTTATTGCAACACATCATGAACACTTTAATTAGAAAACATAAGTTAGTGTTAAACAATAATGACAACGAGTTGAAATAAAAGCAAAAGCTGGTGTAAATGGTACAGGATTATAAGAAAAAGTACAATAGTGTATAATTTGATTTCGAAATTCTACTTATTATAGATTACCTTTACATTTTGTAATATTTTTAGTCCCCGTCTCTTCAGTTAGCGATCCTTCTGGACATAGCTTACATTCTATCTGACCTTCTTCGTCTTGAAATTCGCCAATAGGACAAAAGTCACACACGTCACTGCCTTGATTATGGAATGTACCCAGAGGACATTGCACTGTCATAAATAAAAAGAAAAACATTCAAGTTTCTTTACAGTTATAAATATTTTCAGTGGTGGTTCTGATTGATCATTGTTTAAATTTGTCTGCCAGCTTGGGCGGGCAAGAATTTTTGTATACATATTATTTTATTTTAAACAGTTCTTAAACAGAGCAATAATTAATAATAATTTTGTAAGCTCGATACACAAGTATTAGGTTTTCTTTAAATACAGATGGTACGTGACTACTGAAATGAGTACTGTCCAGTGAAGGTTGGCTTATGGTACAGTCTAACTGACAAAACACCATTACTGTTAGTGATATGAATATCTAAGAAAGAGATGCTGTTGGTCTTCTCATGGTATTCTCCCCTAAAGTTAATATTACTAAGTGAAAAAGTATTTCACATGATTCTGATCCTCAATGATACTAAAGGTATCATCAACATACAGTATAAAGGTTTAAGTCCTGTTGGGCAATTCTGCAGCCATTATTCTTAATTAATTATATATGTCAAAAACATTACGCTAGGCCTATTACATATTCTAACACTACATTCTTAAACTAGTCCCTTGGGGATTTTCAGCAACTAGAAGAGTGTATAATAATTGTATTTAAACCACTCTATATTCGTCATAACCATAGTCGACAACGCGTTTCGCTCAATCCAGAGTTCTTCAAGCCAGCTAGGATAGATTAAGAATATAATGCTAAAAAAATATAATAGCAATAAAATATGACAAATATAGTTAATTCCAATCATATTGCGCCAGTATGTAAAAAAGCGTTAACACTATAGTCGCCATTCTTCATAAAAACAGAGAAATAAGTTAACTAAACATGGTGTTAAGTTGGATCCCACATTAACTCCATCTAGCTGCTCACAAGTCTTTCCTTTGAAGATAAAATAAAAGTGTTTGGTAGGAAAGTTTAATAAATGTTTGATAACTACTTTAGGTATTCTATTCATAGTTTTCTCCTCTCTACAGACTAAGACACTAAGTTTATACACATTTTTATGGATTCATCAAGTGATATACTGGTGAATAAAGATCCGAAATCAAAACTAGTATAGAATGCCTCTTTAATAAAGTGTAGCTCTTTGAGGTTATTATACTTTGATGTGAACCCATCGGGCGTATGGTTTTGTAAACAGTTTTATTAGTGGTTGTTTGGTGTTTAGATTTTAGTAACTATCTATATAATACTGCTTCTCGTTTTTTGTTGTTGTTTGTTTGTTTGTTTTTGTTTTGTTATTTGTGAAAGACTGAAAGAGGCAACGGTTCAATGTTACTGAATTGGTCCTACTATTGTTATTGAAATCAATATTAAGGTTAGTTTAAGCAAACAAACATTCACTGAAATAAAAAGGTAGATAAATATTCTTTAAATGGATATCTTTGTAGACTTACTGGTGATTTGCTAGAGCATACAAATGTAATGTTGTGTTTTATAAACATTTTGTAAACATTAATAAGACTTTAGTTCAGTGAAAAGTAAACCCACACTGCTCATCTTAAAATATTTTTTTCTGAATTTATCACATAAATGATTATAAACATAACTGCATAAGTGTTTATCATTTGCATTGTTTTTATCATTAATTAATAAAACGTTAATACGCCCTAGCGAATTTATACTTGATAAAGTTTTGTTCACATAAGATCACATCGAAAACGTAGTCTCGCTTTTTCTTTCAATAACAATTTGCTTCTCTTTAGAGTCTCGTACGAACTGATAACACAAAAAAGTGATATGTAGAATTATCAAAAATATCATTAGCAATACACACAAATATACATTTAATATGATGGAAGCTGTTACCGAAAATAATAAATTTTTTACTTCTTACCACATTCTTTATTTTTAAGAATAGCACCAGGATAACATAATAGTTGGGTTGGGGTGTTAGCTACTACGCTAAATGGCTCTACATCTACAGATTTTTCTTTCAAAATATCTTCCTCTGTATTTTCAGCTTTCATGTTTGCCACAATCCGATTCACTGCCTCCATCAGATCTTGAAATGAGGATACATTCTGTTCGAAAAAGATAAGTAAACTTTATTTCTCTTAATTTCCAAACATGGCTTGAAACTAAGGTAACAAAATTAATAACTAGGCCTGTATCTATTATACAAGAAGTAAGATGATAAAGGAATGGCGATAAGCGTAAAAGTAAAAACGAAATATCATGCACACAATATAAGTAAGTATATTTACCCATACATTAAAAGTAAGAAAGAGACATTAAACACGTGATGTTCGTATTAGCCACAATCTTACATCATTCAGAAATGGGAATCATATCTGGTTAAAAACGTTTGTCATGTACATATATATATATAAACATACATACAATGAATAGTTATTTGTGTATACAGAATAGACCGATCATGTGATTCTTGCTTGTAGTTTATAAATAAGGAGATGTGGTAACGGTATAGATGATTTGCAAGACAATGGATAAGATCAATAATACAAGTAAACTTGATAGTAATATCTCTGACAGACTTTTTAAAGACAGCTTTCATTAAAGTCTGTAAACAGAGCCAACTGGAATATAATATGTTTGCTATCAAGAAAAATTATTGCTGTCAGTCTCTGGTAAATGACCGATGGAGAAAATATTTGAACGGGCTTATAAAGTAAGTTTTCAGATAGTGTCTTATTTTATCAGTTCCTTCAACAAGATTAGGATTCCAAGTATACAATGTGAAGGAGATTGCAATAAATTACACGAAAAAACAGGTTATTATCGCTACAAAAGGTGGCCCGACCCGATGCTAAGTAGAGGTTCTAATATATGGTGGAGATTTCGCCGATATATACATTACGTTTGTTCCTTTTCCACTAAATTATTCAATTTCTACACTAAGTTTTTTTCCATAAATTCTTCTTCTGATAAATGTAATAAATTTGAAAATTTATATGAATATAACGTTTATAAATAGTATTTTTTGCATTTCGTGTACTTCAAAACATTATTTGTTATAGTACTAGAAGAAGTACCAAACTCACATCTGCAGTTGTTGCTTCGTTTCATCTATTCATTAGTTGCTATTTTATAGACATAGTGGGAGTAGTTCTACTTTAATCTTGCACTTATTGAGTTGAGATATGAAGTGTCGTATGTTTGATAGTGGGAATAGTTCTACTTTAATCTTGCACTTATTGAGTTGAGATATGAAGTGTCGTATGTTCGATAGTGGGAGTAGTTCTACTTTAATCTTGCACTTATTGAGTTGCCGTATGTTTGAGAGTGGGAATAGTTCTCCTTTAATTTTGCACTTAATATACAGATGAGTTGAGATATGAAGTGTCGTATGTTTGATAGTGGGAGTAGTTCTACTTTAATCTTGCACTTATTGAATTGAGATATGAAGTGTCGTATGTTCGATAGTGGGAATAATCTACTTTAATCTTGCACTTATTGAGTTGAGATATGAAGTGTCGTATGTTTGATAGTGGGAGTAGTTCTACTTTAATCTTGCACTTATTGAATTGAGATATGAAGTGTCGTATGTTCGATAGTGGGAATAGTTCTACTTTAATCTTGCACTTATTGAGTTGAGATATGAAGTGCCGTATGTTCGATAGTGGGAATAGTTCTACTTTAATCTTGCACTTATTGAGTTGAGATATGAAGTGCCGTGTGTTTGATAGTGGGAGTAGTTCTACTTTAATCTTGCACTTATTGAGTTGAGATATGAAGTGCCGTGTGTTTGATAGTGGGAGTAGTTCTACTTTAATCTTGCACTTATTGAGTTGAG